TCCCCATCCCCATCCCTCCCCTGTCCCATCCCCATCCCCATCCCTCCCCTGTCCCGTTCCATTCCCGGTCCCGTTCCCGCTCGGTGGGGACCATGACCCGCTGGGCCCGGCGCGGTGCCGCCCGGGCTCTGCCCGGCACCCCCTGGGAGCGGCTGGCGCCGGCCGAGCCGCGGGCCGGGGGCAGCAGCAGCAGCAGCAGCAGCAGCAGGAGCAGGGGGAAGGAGTGCGAGAACCAGGACGTGAACGGGCTCACGGCACAGCGCGGCCGGCAGGAGGAGGAGGAGGAGGCGCGGAGGAAGGACCGGCGGCGGGAGGGCCGGAGGATGAGGAGGCAGGAGCGGAGGAAGAACGCCATGGTGAGTCCTGCCCTGCTGCCGCGCAGGAAGGCGAAATTCCCTCCCGTCCTGCCTCTGGACAGTGGCAGCACCCCTGAAGGGCTGGCACGAGCAGCGAGCACAATTACACCCTTCCTAATAAAATCCCCTTCGAGGGATGCCCTAAACAGAGCAGTACTCAGACAAGCTCTGATTCCGAGCAAAGCTCACACAGAGCAGTGTGGGGAGGAGACAGGAGGTTCAGCTAATCCCACAGATCACCATGGAACTTCTCCCCGTTCCTAACTCGCTTATATACAGTTTTGTTTATGTTTAGCTGGAGGTTCAGTGACTTCAGCCGTACATCTTAGGGGTGGTCATACCTTGGGAGTGAATCTGATGTTAGCGTTCAGGAACACACAGAATCATGGAATCTGATTCCATGCAGGTGCTTTTGTTGAGAGCTCTGGAATCAGGGGTACAGACCCAAATCTGCCTCCGACACGGCTTTCGAGCTGAACGTATTTTATATTCTGTCATTATATAACTTACATATTCATTACTAAACTTATATTGTTCTATTGTATACACTGATATGAGTTTCTCGTGATCTCTCTTAGGCCCCTGACCACAGTTTCTCATGATTATTCTTACAATTAAACAGTAATTATGTTTAATTAATAAACAATCATCACATCTAACAATTATATCATTTATCATGTACTAGCTACACAGGTGCAGTTCTAGCAAGGTACAAGGCCTTCATGTACCTAAGGTGTTTATTTTTTTTCAGCGCCTACTAAGCTTAATTTTCCTTTTAGCCCTAAATCCCCATGATTTTAAAACCCTTTTACTATCATGAGGTAGCACTAAGGTCGCCCTGGGGTGGGATGTGGTCAGTCCATAGACAGGGATTCCATCATAGCTGCTGATCCAACAGAACATCCTCCTTTATCTCCCACGCCTGATCAGCTGCAATGTACCAATGCAGATTCCTTCCTCTGCAAGGATTTTGGCAGAGCTGTGGGGTCTGCTCCTCTTACACCCTCCTGTTAGTGCTGCCTGGATTGTGGTGTGTGTGTCGGTCCCATCCAGGGAGTAGCCACTGTATTTCCCCCTGAAATTTCCCCCTTTCAGTCATTTTCCCACAACATTGTTCAAAAAGAGCCCCATGTGGGAGGCACAGTTCTCTCCCTGTGGTGGTGTTATTGTGGGGCTCAACAAGAACTCAGCCCTCCCCTGCCACGGGCACAGCATATTTCAGGTGAAAGACATGAAGTCTGGAACAAAAGGTGTCTGTCAGCTCCAGCAGCAGCCTTTAGCCTGGCTCTCCTGGCTCAGCGCTGTTTCCCCTGCCCCTTTGAGGAGTCCCCAGCCCCTCTTGGTTCCTGGGTGGAACTAATTCCGGTGATTTCTGCGATTCATTTTTCAATTTTCATGAATCACACGATTCATCAAGTTGTGTTTTGCTGATTAAAGGAGAAAAGTGCCCGTGTTTTGTGGTTTGGTGGCAGAGCACAAAGTCTCTTCCTGGCTGCTTTTTCCTGGGGACAAAATGGTGTTTACTCTTTAGGCCCCGTGAGGCTGGGATTTCCAGGTTTCGGGTGCCACTCACAGAATTCATCACTGGATTTTCCTCTTCCAAGGTGTGTTTCCACTGCAGAGAACCTGGCCACGGCGTGGCTGATTGTCCTGCAGTGCTGGAGAGCCAGGACATGGGGACAGGAATTTGCTACCGCTGCGGATCCACGGAGCACGACCTCAGCAAGTGCAGAGCCAAGGTGGACCCAGCTGCTGGTGGGTGTCAGGAATTGGTGTTCTTCCGAAGTGCTTGGGTCTGAATTGTCTGACTGCTGACCCTGAAGCTTTGTGTGTTAGAAATTTAACTTTTGCAGCATGATCACAGGGAACCTGACAGTAATTTATAGCATGAAGTGATTAAAATATTGCCATTGCACTGTGTTGGGTCTGTGACTTCACAAAGGTTTTGACATGGACTGTAAACCCTGTGGAATTTTGCAGGGCCTTTTCCATATGCAAAGTGTTTCATCTGTGGTGAGATGGGGCATCTGTCAAGGTCGTGTCCAGATAATCCCAAGGGGTTGTATGCCGAAGGTGAGTGTCCTGATTCACTGAACTTAGTAAAATTAAATTTCTCTGTACTTCCAGAACAAAATAACACTGCAAGAGAATGAGAGTGTGGCTAAAAAGAATTCCTTTGTATCTTTCAGTAAAAGCAGGGTAATTCTGGGGAATTCATTGTTCAAATAAATTACCTGGGGATTTCTGCTTTAAATGCAGGTTTAGTATTAAATGACAGCCTGAGGTACAAAGTGTGGGAATTTGCTTGTGCCTCAGCATCAGGACATGCACAAAGGAGCAAAAATCCTGTGTGAATGTAGGTAGTGTGTATTTACATGCCCCCAAGTAGGTGGTAGGAGCATTCTCACACAGTACAATAAAATTCTGGGAGGTGGCAAAACACAGGCTCTCAGTAAAGGGGGAGCATCTTCAGTCTGAGTAACTTCAATGAGAAATGGTGTCTAACTTTGAAAGCTTCACTCCTCCACTGGCTCCAACAACCAGCATGCTGTCTCCTGGTGTTTCCCAGCACAGACGTGGGGTCTTGGCAAACTCCACAGGGCGGTTTTGCAGCACAGCTGAAGTGGAACAAAAATCACCTTGCTTTCAAGTGTTGGTATTGGGGACGTCTGTATTGTGTAGAATTTCACATCTCGGTACCTGCAGTTTGATTACCTGCCTCTCAGGAGCCCCTGTCGATTTTATAAGTTTCTTTTCAGTATGGATTTCAGCAGAATTCAGCCTGTTTCTCAAAAAGAGCTTCCAGCAAATCAGAAATACTCGTTAAGCAGTGGCTGGAGTTTGTGGTGTGTGGTGCTGTACAGCACAGTGTGATCCCAAACACCTCTATCCTTCACAGACACAGGAAGGATGCTTTCTTGGGTGTTTTTTGCATTTTTTGTAGTGTTTTCCCCTCCTCAGACGAGTAACAACTTTGTGTGTTAACAGGTGGGGGCTGCAAACTCTGTGGCTCTGTGGAGCACTTCAAAAAAGACTGCCCGGAGAAGCAGAACGCAGGTGAGCTGCAGGGGTGTGGGGTGCCGTGGGTCCAGCAGGGCTCAGCTACTGCTCTGCACAGCTGTGTCAGGGAAAAGGCTGTGGGAGAGAGCTTGGAAGCAGCAGAGCTGACCTTTTGCTGGGACTCTCAGGGAGGGTGTGGAGGAGGCACTGAGTTGCACTGCAAAACTAAGATAATGTTTTTTTTTTTTAAAGTAAATTCATCTTGTGTCTATCTGAGGGTCATATCAAATAATCAGGTTGGTTTTTTTTTTTTTTTTTCTGGCCAGTTTTTTTGCTGCCACAGTCTGGCAGCTGTAGAGCAGAACTGGCTGCTGCTTTTTGCAGATTTCAGTGTGGAGTAGTGGATCTGAACCCAGTGCAGGGTGGTGGTGTGTCAGGCACCCAGGACAGGGACAAAGGAAGATGTGTCCAGTTGGATTCACAGCTCATGAGCTGTTTTCCCTGCGTGTTCCTCAGCTTTCCATGTGCGTAGAAAAATTAATTTAGATACCCCAAACCCCCACTGTGCTACAGGAGGCAAAGCATCAGAAAAGGGTTTGAGGAATGATCCTGTTACTGGAGTGGTGACACACTTGGCATTTTTCTACTTTTTTTCTGCAACACTTAGTTAATGTGCCACTTAATAATAAGCCACTTTACTGAAATTTATGTAAGAAATATTTGTGGCACTTTCTAGATGTGATATTTTTAGGTCTGAGACCATATGTTGGATTCTAGGTGTGTTGCTTTGCCAGTTTAGAACGAGTCAGATTCAGTCTGAATTGGTATGACAGAAGTTTATGACACCAAAAGACTCTGAAATTTCCCCAAGTAGCAAGGCTGTGCCCACTTGAGTGGCTAGTGTTTTAGAAGCCTGTAAGTAGATTTTTTTCTACCTTTTTCTGGCGAGTTTAACATCCATAATGAGGACTGTAAGTGTTGTTTATTTTCCCAAGGGACTGCTTTCAAAACTAGCACCGCTGGTTAGAAGCTTTCCAGTTAATTGGAACTGTGTCACCACTGGCAAGAATTGTGATGTTTGAGATCAAGTGAGCATTGTGCAGGGTATGTTCAGGTACAGAAAGTCAGGTGAGAGAGCTGCCAAAGGAGTTCAGGCACTACAGCTTCCAGTTTCCTCAGGCAGACCGGGGCAGCCTCGGTGTCCAGAGGCTGATGTGGGTTCGTGTTCTGGTTTGAGAGCAAAACCAGTGAGAGACTCCAAGTCAGAAACACACTTTATTAGGAAAAGGGGGGGAAAAAACCCAAAATACATGCAATAATACAAAAGAAAAACCACTGACAGAGTCAGAATACAACCTGGCACCCTACTAGTTAGGGTGGTGGTAGCAGTCCAGATGAAATGGTCTTGTTGAAGTAGTGATCTGTCAAAACAGTCTTGTAGCTCTTGTCCTCTGGAAACCAGTGGGTAAGGGTGGCCATTCCTCTGGGAACCCAGTGGAAAGAACTGACTGCTGTGTCCCAAAACCTAGATTATATCCAGGTGGGGATGCTTAGCTCATCTCACAGTGGGCTGCTATCATTCTGAGTCATGGGTGGATCCCTGCCTGCCCATTAAACAGAAGTGGCTCCTGGAGGGAGTTGAAGACACTGATGGGTGCGTTAACAGGAGATAAGGCAAATGGGATAGAATACATCTCTATGTGGTTCCCTGGCCTGTGTCCCCGCAGAGCAGGTGACAGTCGGGCGCTGGACCCCCGGCCTGAGCGCCGACCACGAGGATGTCGCGGCTGCGCCGGCGCCGCAGAGCGCGCAGCCCAAGCGACCCAAGGTCGTCACCTTCTGAAAGCTCCTGGCTCTCAAACTCCTCTCCTGCACTGCCCCACTGCGCTGCTGGCGATGGAGAAATCGAGCAAGCTGCAGAGGAACTGTTGGTTTTCTGTCTCCCCTCGTTTTCCCAGGTTGCCTCCCAAACCTGCCTGGCTCACTGTAAAACTGGCAACAACAGCACAGCAAGTGGCTGTTTTATTAAAGGAATTGTGGGTGTTTTCTAAGGGTTCTTGTTGGATTCCTGTTTGGTTTTGCTTTTTTCTTTTAGGAATAATGAACTTATTCCTCCATGTGTTCCAGCTTGAGCAGTCTTGTGGTGAAGGTACAGGTCAGCCCTGTGGGCTGCCGAGCTTGGGGTGCAGCTCCTGATGGTTGTAGTTGTTACTGTCAGCCATTAACCTGGTTGGGCATACACACTGGGTTATTTCAGTGTGTTCACTTGCAGAATACAGCCTTTCCTCTGAAACCTGTGGTGAAACACACCCCTAAAGAATTGGAGAGCAAGTGAGAAGCTCTCTTGGTTTATTTACTTTTTTTTTCAAAGAAAATTCTCAAAAATGTGCAGTGTTTCCGTGCCTTGGTGAGCTGGGAGTAAATCTTCTTTGTAAAAAAAAATTAAATTTTCTTTGTAAAAAAAACCCAAAACAACTGGTGGATATTAAACAGAAAAATTAAGAAACCCACTCCAAACAGAGTTTCTGCATCCGGCAGTATTACTGGAGAAGTGCATCCCTGACCTCCCCTCACATACTCTTCTTGCAGCCAAAAACAAATATGGGGGATTAAATTGTCTGGAGATATTTTATATTTGTACAGGCAATTATTTTTAATAAAATGTTGCTAAAGAATACAGTGGTTAAACGTCCTATTTTAGATGTCTTGGTGCTGCTGTGGAGACTTGAGATAGGGGGTGTATGTTCAGGTAGTATTAATCAGAGCACATTTTTAAATGGGAAAGAGGAGTGGATGTGAATTAAACCAAGGATTAATTATGGAGTTTTAATTAACTATTGGATAACAGCTCAAAGCTATCTGTTTCATGTGGACATTTTGGCAACAGACATTTATCCCAGCTTAAGAAGCATTTCCCTTTCATTGTATGAATTAAGTATACTGTTTAAAAAGCACCTTTTTTATGTAATTTCCCATCTCCTTGGCTTTGCAATGTGCTCTTGCCGCCTGTGCTGGTGGTGCCAGTGCGGGCTGGTGCAGGCAGTGGTTGTGCAGTCCTGAGGAGGGGCTGATCTGCAGCTCCTGCGGAGCAATCTGAGCTGTACCTGCGGGACAAAACCTCTGGTTAGGTGCACCCACTGCTGCTGCACAGAGGCCTGTGTGGCTGCTTTGGAAAGCACCTGCAAAAGGCGCAAAGCCATAAATTGACAGTGCTGGGCTGGCTGTGTCCAGAGCCAGCATTAGGGGTCTCTCTTCACCAGGCTATCTCTGCAGCCCAGGGCTGCTCTGCCACCGCTGCTGCCGGCAGGGAGCTGCACCCTCCTGGGCTGGGAGGTGGCACACCACCCTGGTGGGTGCTGGGCTCTGGAAGGGGCTCCCAGAGTGGTGCTGCTCTCTGTCCACGGGAAGGAAGTGCTGATCCAGATCAGACCTGATCTGTGGTCCTTGCTGCCGAGCCAGAGGCCGGGGGCTGTCTCTGTGTTCCCAGCGAAGCACACAGCCGCTGGCGTGGCTCAGCAGGCAGAACTGTGCCCACACTGAGCCACAGGGCAGGGGACACCGGAGAGCTGACACCCCCAGGGCTCAGTGCCACCCCTGCCACGCTTCTGCAAACTGCTGGTGGGTTCTGTAAATCCCTGCAGCAGGCTGGGCTGGCTGCAGGCTGGCAGAGCTCTCACCCTGGCGCCGGTGGCACTGCAGTGACACGGAGTGGCAGTGCTGCAGCTCTCCCCCAGGCCCTCGCCAGGATCCAGATGCTGGTGACACACTCGCTGCTCTGAGCAGAGCAGCACACAAGGCAGAGCTAGTAAAAAAGTACCTTACACCACAGAGTTTCTGTTTTAACATTATGTTATAACCTAAAGCTATACCTCAGCACAGCCCTGGAGCCATCGCCGTGTTTGCTGGGGAGGACTGGACACGGGGGTTGCTGCTGGGTGTTTCTCCAGCCTGGCACAGCTGGCACAGGCTGGAGCTCAGGGCTCTGCTGCAGAACCCACCAGCAATGCAGGACAGCAACCCCAAATACTGGGATGAAATCTGTAACCTCAGAAACAATAATTTATTGGGAGTCACACATAAATCGACAAGTACTAAAGTACAGACATCAGCAAACACTAATTTACATGGCCACTAATCAGTTTATAAATAATGGTGTGCAAGGACCTGCACAGCCGGGTCAGAGCACAGGCAAAGCCACTTGGTAGCACTGGTTTCTGCAGATTACAAGGGATGGTATTTTAAAACAGCCTGGGTGCCACTGTTTAATGTAGCATTAAAATAGTGAAATGCTGTTATGAACTACAGCTCTACTGAGCCAAGTTCTGCCTCCATTTATATAAAATTCATTAATGCAATCAAAAGCAGAATCTGTTCCGTAATCTTTTTTAAATTAAAGATTGAATTTAGAGCCTAAGGCCTAAGCTTGGTTTGATAGAAAATGCTTGTACCAGGTATTTTCAGGCTGAAGCCCAATACTGACTACATGATCTGAAGCAAGTCACCTACAGAAGAATGATCGACACCCTTGCAGGAATTTTGACCAGAACTGCTTGATAATCTTCAGATGTCCCTTCAGAAATCTGTTTTTAACTTCAGCACTTGCTGTCTTCCAGCTCCAAGAACTTTATGCACTCCAAAGCAGTGTCTTCAATGGATTTTGATGAGCCGGTAAGATTTGCAGCTAAGTAAGGCACAACTCCTGATGTCACTTGATTGAAGTAACACACCTGTTTGAACAAAAGTAAATGAAACAGAAAAGCCTATGGATTGCAAGTTAGTAATTTTTTTTTGCAGAGCCTGGATTACTACCACAGCTTTTATGGATATGAATAGAAGCACACAGTGCTTCTGAAACTGAAGGCAATAATTTGCAAAAGGCATGCCTTTTTTACAGCACTGCAGTGATCTGGGTATCCTCGCTGCTCTCAGACCTTCCAGCATCTGCAGGTAAATGTACAGAGCAGTGCAGCTAGAAACACTTGTGCATAACGTGTTCAGTGTGTGTGCTTTGTGAACAAAGCTGTTGCCTGAAAAAAAGGAGCTGCAACCAGAAAGAGCTGCTGAAAGTTTTCAGAAATGTGTTTTCTTAAGGGGAAAGTTTTAGCGTTCCCATGGCAAAGAAGATTGGCATGGCTCCAGAGATGGGAATCAGATTTTGTGATTCCTGGGATATGAAAGTTCAAGCAAGGAATTTAATTTGAACTAATTGAACTAATGGCCTTTATAGTCAGTGGAAAAGAGACACACCACCAGAGACCAGTGTAATGCACATCCTCTAGAGGTGTGTTTTAGGAGTCAGTGAATTGCTCTGGAGGGGCAGGGCAGCCTCCAGTGCTCAGTTAGAGCTCGTTTCTAACAGGTTAGACAAAGCTGGGCAAGACAGACTCCACACACCCAGACTGAGCTCCTTTTTTGGATGTATTTTGCTGTTCTCTCTGCAGGCTGTCAGCTCAGGTGGGGTGGCAGCCCCAGGGCAGGGGTACTCACAGTGCAGGAGCTGCTGCTGTCGCTGTGGATCTGGAACCCAGCACAGAGGATTTCACTCCTGCAGAACTCCGGCCTCGGGGGCACCGCCCTGAGGGTCACGGACCTCACGGCCACCGTGTAGGGCTCCCTGCAGGGCAGGGACAAGATCAGACCCTTCCTCCTGCTGAAAACCTTCACGGCAGCGACCACAACACGTCATTGTCACTGGAGGACAGAGCACTCCGGCGTTTTCAACGATCCTGGTCCAAAGCCAGAACCCTGCTGAGCCCCAGTGAGGCTTCAGCACAGACCCCAGTCCAGGAGACCTCTGTGGCAGCCAGAGAACATTCCCCACCTTTTCTTTTTGATTTAGCCTGCTCTCAGCCCACGTTTATTGCATCATATATTACCCAATGTGGCCAGAGTCAAGGTATCCAAACTCATTCAATCCCCCCGTGGAGGGGAAAGCAAGCACAGTACAGAATACTGCTTTTTAGTGCTAACTTGAATAATTGCTGAGTGTAAAAAAAGAAACAGAATAGAGAAGGATGAGATACACTAAAAGGTTCCACTTGTCCATGTTTCACTATGTAAGAACAAAAGGAGATCTAATAAAAAAAAGAAATAAAACTTTAAAAAGCAAGGTATGTTAAACTGAGCAGGGGACTTGGCAGAATTTACAGATACAATAAATGTGTGAGGTTTCAAGAACTTCCTTGACTGAGTGAAAACTCTGTAATTACATGGAAAGGGAGTACAAAGTCACTTCAAACAAACAGAAAACTGTCAGGTAGATGCTTCAGCCCACTGGGAAGCTCTCTGGGGCATGATTTTTTCCCCCCTATTTGCCCATTTGGATTTCTGGCCTATTTGCCCTCCTAGTAGACCATTCCCATAGAGTCACTACCAAAGAACCAATGTACTGGACTATGCTAAAAAGTTGTTATGCTCTGGATTTATTTCACTGCACCTTCACATTGCAACGCAAATCCGGTTGTACAAACTCGGGCATCAACAAAGGAATCTCACACCTCAGACAGTAAAATGCCATCTTTGTCACAGATCAAGGTGACAGGACTGCAGGCTGTGCCCAGGGTGAAAATCAGAGCCATACTCACTGTGGCCTGCAGGGCTGCCTTTGGGACACCAGAATCACAAAGTCTCTGGGCTGGTGGCCTGCCATGGGGGCAGAGGTAACGTGGTAAATCTTCTCCTCTTCACTCACAGCCTGCAGCACCTCGCACGTCCTGTGTGAAAAATGCACATTTTACTATTGGCTTTTTGCAAATATTAGAATGAATATCGTATGTCTAATGTTAGAAAGTTATGCTGTATTAATTCTCGTAAGTTCTGTGTTAAATATAGTTTTAGGTTACAACATAATGGTAAAACAGAAACTCTGTGATGTAAGATATTTTTTCCTAGCTCAAGAAAGGGATAAGATAAACAAGAAACTCTGTGCACAGGTATAACAGTGACACAAAACCTGAAGAGTTACAGCCTCCTTGTCAGAACAGACAAACATTCTTCAACCCTCTCTCTGTTTTTATGGAACCACCAGGATTAAGGGGAAGGAGTTGACAAAAAACAGAAAAATTCTTAATTTGCAAGGAATTTATGCACCATGTATGAGATATATGAATATATAAATATGCAACAGGTTGTTGCTTTTACGGTTATTCCTTTGCTCACAAGGCCTGGCTTTGGCAGCTCAGTGCCCAAAAACAACTGGAAGTATGTAATTCTTTGCTTTTTAATCTCTTGTAGTGTCCTAATCCTCATTGTCCAAATTTTTATTACTCTAAATTTATTACTATTTTTTAATAACTATTTTATTACTAATGAACTTTTAAGACTTTGAAAAACAGGTGATTGGTGAAGACATTCAGCACACAACTCAGGCCCTGGTGTGTGCAGCAGCAGCCCCTCCAACAACCTCAGGGAAAATGAGCTCCACCCTGACCCTGGGACTTTGGTTTTCATGTTCCAGCAGCAAGGCAGAGAAACATTTCGGTTTTCTGCAGCACCTCATCAGCAGTGTTTCTTTAGGTTTCATTTGTTACAAGTTGTAAATTCAGTAGAGTTTGTAGATTTTTAAATATCCCTAAGGTTCCACTTCCAGCCTCTGGTAAAAATCTCTCAGGATGGAATAATTAACTGAAAATGCTTCACCAAATCAAGTTAGTATAATTTCAATTTAACTGTCTCT